TACTACTTTTTTGTGCTATAAATAATATTTTGGTAGTGTTTTGCAATGTTTATTTCAAAGAAAATTTTGGCGAGGTTCAAAAAATGCAAAATATTTTGTATTTTGTCCCTAATATTTCAGGCAGGGTCAAAGCTACAATGGTGCTGACACCAGAAAACCATTCTATGACATCTTACCTTTACAGACGTACCAAAAGTTTCTTCTTAAATCTAATAGCTTTGAGGCTATAAGTTATTTACTTTTGTGTGTTTTTGTCAGGCAGACATTTATTTATACCCCCTTAGGGTGTAAGAGGTTAACAATTTTTTTTTTCAGTGGCTCTAATCCTCTTCCATAGTCTGGACCCGCCGAAATGCAAACGCCTTCTATAAGGCTTGTATGGCAACACAGGCTCTAAGCCTATTAGCTCACCATAACAAAGGACTATGTGTGCTTAAACATATAATAAGCATTCATGATTAAATGTTTATCTTGGAGCTAATGTCACATAGTAGCACGAGGTGAGGGAGGAGCAGTGAACGCTCTCACTGACAGTGGCCAGCCTCTAGTGGAGTATTGATTCCAATTTCCACAATTGGGTCCTTTTCCAGGCGTTACTATTTCACCCCTTGTTGATATTAACTAGGTCTAGTCAGAAGCCCCTCTTCGCCTTTAAATCCGGTTAAATACAAAGCGGTCAACTGGTCGATGGCTTTGTCTCTCTCTCCATCCATGTGTCCTCAAAAGAAAATTGATAATTAATCAACTTCTGAACATTCTTGTAGTTTATGAACAGCCCACTGGAGAAATCAAACAACAAAACAAGTTTATTCAAACCAGGAAGGCTTTTCCTGATCACAGCCTTCTACTTGTCTCAGTCATCATCCATATGAAGTCAAAGCCCCCAAGAACAACAGAATCTCTAGACTGCTTCCTTTTTAAAGGAAAAGTCTGGTCAACAAGGAATAATCAGTGGGTCATTATTTATACCTAAAAAATAACACGTTTGCGTTGATTTGATAAATGAAGACTTCACTATTGAAATTCACCAGGGCTATAGTTAAACTGACAATGCCCACGTGCATGGCAGCTGGATGTTGGAATATATTGGGTAAAAGTGAAAAAAAAAAGAGTTATTTCACCTTTCCGATTCCTGATCCTCCACGGACGGGTTCATTGTTGGGTTGCCAACTTAAAGAGGGAGGATTTGCCCTCGAACTTCTTGCCAGATAAAAAAAAAAACACGTAATATGTAGCCAACATTTGGAAAAAGAACGTTTTCAAGATGACTTGGATAATAGCGCGTTGTGACAAACACCAGATACAGCACTGGGACTTGATCAACAGCCGATACCGCACCGTGACGTCACAAACCGGTAGGTGCCAGTAGTGTTCTTTGACAAACATGGATGCCTCCAGTAAAGCACATTCAAATGAAAATAAATTAAAACCATAATTTATAGAACAGTTTGTAATAATTTCATTTTTAAAATACTTTCAGGAGTTTGAATTCTGAATATTACAGGTATTTTCCTTTAAGGGAACCCTCAACATTTGATTTCAATAAGGTGTCAAGCTGCTGAACAGAGCATAAGCATTGACAACAGTAAGAACTTTCCTTTTTACATCTCAAAGCTACAATGAGACAAACTGGATCACTGGGGGTCCTCAGCAGGGGGTTTGCAATCAACCCCAAACCAGAGCAACGCCTCGAGCGATTCCTCTTCTCAGTTCTGCAGTAGGAAATATTTTAGTACCTCCCAGCATTTAGATCCAAAGCCCAGGCTGTGTCCATTAAAGGGTAGTTGCTATCAGTCAAAGTCTATTTGAATAGCCCATGGCATTGCAAAACAAATGTAAAGTGTGGACTTCAAATTTAAACCAAGATAAAACCATTAACTCTAATGAAATTAATTTTAACCTGGATTAAACAAATGCTGTTTCTCCATTTTGGGTTCTGGATAACCAGATTATTACCTGCAGGAATCAGCAATTCCCGGCTGCCTCTCCTCACCTGGCTCACATGACCTCACCATCCCTCCTGGCAGGTGATCGATCAGTTACAGTTTTTCTGAGCAGGTTCTCCCAGAACCCCAAACAAAGACGATGCAAGCGCTTGTTTGTTGAAGTAGCATGCTGTTAGAGCCGTGGGATTCTCTCAGTTCTGGACTCATTAGCGCTGCTGATCGTGCTTTGGCTCTCAGAGCTGCCATTAGTAGTTTCTACGCATATCTAAAGGTGTGTTAACAGTTGTATGACAGCACATGTTGGCATGATTACAGGTGGAGTTAATTTCCAGGAGACTATTGTTGTTAAGGGTAGGTCTCTCAGCTTTTTATTTGATAGTCTACATAAAGTTTCAAGAATGTATCAAAGCATACCTCCAAATCTTACCACTGTGTCTGCTGTTGATGCTAACTTATTTTGACCTTTGTGTTGCTTTTGTTTTGCTCAAAGTCTGTGGCAACAGTGAAAAGCTTCCTGCCAAAAAGCTGTTTACCATGCTGCAGTAAGAAACGCCATCCGTGCCAGCTACTTAATGAAATCCGATGAGTGCCTGGCTGTCCTCACATCCAGCATTCCCAAAACACCCTAATGAGCGTTTCTGCTTCTAATTTATTTCCAAGATGCTGTTCACAAAGAACTGGGTATATTATAATAAAACAGGTGCATAATTAAACTTTTAGGGGACCACATGCTCATGACGGCTTCCCTTAAATGCTATAAACACTCAAATAAGCCAACAAACTTTCATCCCTTGCCAGTCCTTTCATTGAAGTGGCTTTGCCAGCACATTTGCTCTGCATGTGGGACCATTGTTGGTGCTGTGTCGTCTTTGCTGTCTTCTGTTTAACTGCGGTGTCTTAAAATGTACACTCGAAAACGCGCACACGCACAGACTTTGCATTCGTTTAAACACAACTAAAGCATGTAATCAGTTTGGTTGATGTCGTGTTCTATAATATGCAAGAGTGAGGAATTTTTAATATGACAAAAACAAATGACTAAGCATACTTTAACATGGTGCCAAAGGCTTCAAATAAAAAGTTTTTTCTTGCTCTCTACATATGTGTGTGAAGTCAAGGTGAAGATCATTGCATTTGTCATTTCCAGAGTTTCTAACTCCTACTAGTGAGTTTTATTGACTGTCCTACATTCCTCTTTATCAGATTTTCTCCCCTTCCGTCTCTTAACAGAGACAGCAGACACTTCAGAGCTTGCAGAAGTGCAGCTCACTGCTCTTGTCACACTGGAGAGCCACCCAGGAGTAGAAGAAAGGGAATGATAAAGAGAGCCTTGGAGGAAAAAAGAGGGAGGGAAACAGAGGAGTTAAACGATTGCAGAGCTGCTCAGGGAAAAAAGAGGGACTCCGTGACGTATCCCAAACTCTGAACTGGGACCGCACCATAATCTGTGTGTGACTAAATAAGTAATGAGGCACAACTCTGACATTCTGCAGATATATTTGGGGTGACACACTTTTATTTTCACTGATTCATAAGGCAGTACTTTGACTATTTTGGTTGACTCCTAGACTCTTATAACAAGATACAACAGGGCAGTGTCCACTCTATTCAGTGATGCAGAGGACCTTTTACAAGACAAAGAAAAATCAAGATGTTTTTCCCTGTGTTTAATTCAAACAACTTAATAGTTTTTCCAAAAAAAGTAAAAAAAAAAAAAAGGCCACTGGACTTTGTTTCCAAGTTTGAAGACATTTTGCTTCCCATTCAGGAAGGTTTTCAATTCAAATGTCAGAAATTGCGTTGAGTTTGAGGCAATTCTTACAATTTGAATTGAAAAAGCTTCCTTGATGGGAAGCAAAACGTCTTCAAACTTGGAAACAAACTCTGGTGGATTGTTTTTTTTTTTTTTACTTTTTTTTTTGGAATGACTATGACATGGATGACTGAACATCTGCACCAGCATACTAAATAGTTTTCCTTGTAAATTCTGGTGAGGCGTTGTAAATGTGGAGGACAACAATCCGATTTTTTGTTATGCAAGAAAGAAGCGTGCCGTAACCCTATGTTTATTGTCATTCCTCGTTCGGGATGTTTTTGTTTTGTTTTTTCCCTTAACCGCACTAGTTGCCCTTTTTTTCCAGCAGTAGCCTCACAGGAAAGGGGGTACGAAAGAGGGGAAGAGACAAGGGTAAAGGACCACAGGTCTGATTTGAACCCGGGTTGGCCGCGTCTAGGAATAAGGCCTCTGTACGTGGCCATGCGCACTAACCACTAAAGCACACCTGTAGTTTTGAATGTTTGAGTAAAATTGAGTAACATTTTTCCGTTTTGTTTTGGTGATTGGTTGGAAACTGATTTAAAACACAGCAAGTTTACATGAAACAAACTGTAGAGGGTTTGGAAATGGGGAAGGAGAACAAAATGAACACCTAAGAGTGTGTATGTGTGCATGGCAGATGATAAATGAGACGGTGGTCCGCTGAGGTTCTGATGGACAGAGGCTGTTTTCAGGGTTCTATCCGACTGCTCTGTTACCTCACCGCCCAGAACACTCAGCTCATCTTGTCATGCTCTCAAGATCTCAAAAACTCTCCCTCTATGCTGCAGACATATGAAATGTTAAATGTGTAGAGTTGTATTTCAGGCTCAGGTTTCCAGGCGGTTCATCTTTTCACATAAATCATTGTCAAAGTTTTGACAACAGGGGAGAAAGGGTCAGCAAAAACTCAGCCTGTTTGCCAAGTAACCAAGGAAAGCTTGGCTCACACCTGGTACTCCTTCACTTTAACTGCTGGAATACAATTCAGGTTATTTGGCCCCTTTTTTCACTGAGAATGAGTTGTTTTTTTATTGTGCTTTGATCGAATTATCAATTTTATAAATAAAGTTTATTTCTTAAACTTTGAAGTAAAAGAAACTACATTTTATAAGGTGATTACTTGCTCATTTTGAACTAATCATTTATCAGGATATTCTGGTTAACGGATTGAATTTCTGTGCCCACACTCGCGGTGGTGATTTATTCCTGTCTGTCTCGTCATTTCTCTCCTGCAGGAGCAAAAGGTCATCGGTTCCCACCGCAGAGTGCATCCTGGAGCTTCCTCACTTCGCCGTTCAGGCGACAAGGCCTCAGACACTTTTGCTTCAAGCAATATGTCAGAGCTGGACCCACAGTATGGTCCATGGATCCCCAGTGATCAGTGAAAGTCTGCACAATGAGGTGTTTAAAGTTACAGGTAAGCAACAGCTGGGTCATGTGAACTGATGGGGTATTCACTAACGTTTTATCTGTTTGAGTTAGAAAAGTCCTCTAAACCAGCGATGGTCGATTGACCATTAATTAACTGATAAGTGGTGATTTTCTAAAAAATAAAAATAAAAATGTTTTCTTTTAATGAAGAGAGTCTTTCCATAATCTGAACATATTCTTTTTACATATTTTATGTAGCGCTCCCCTCAGTAACCATAGAGATGAGGGCAGGGCGTTTGGGTTCTTCTAAAACAGGGGTCACCAACCTTTTTAAGGGTGATGGCCACTTTAAGGGTACCGAGACTTAGGAAGGGCGACCATTACTGACCCATGAGCTGCAAGGGTTAGCGTTAGACTAAACTTTGTTCATTATTATCAACATATTTTTATTTTTAATTTCTAAGTTTATTTAGACATTGTCATTTTTGAAATATCTATACATGATTAAAAAAAGGAGCAACAGAATAAAATAAAAATTCAAACTTAGCCCACTGGTGGGTTGTTCTTTATTTAGAAGACTCTAAGGGCCCCCCATGTGGTCCTTGAGGGCACCTTGGTGCCCACGGGCACCGCGTTGTTGACCCCTGTTCTAAAATATAAATCTCCAACTAAGCTTAAACCTGATGAACTCACGTTTAATATTTGTTTTGAATTTGTCTTTTTAAGTTTACACCAATGGACTATTTTAACCTACCTCTGAACTAACAGGTTTAATCAAGATTTTACCACCAAAATTAAATCAATTACTCATTTAAGGTAATAAAATACACCACACACTGTTTTAGAAAATCAATTCTCAATTATTTACTTAATACCAAAATTATTAAAGCCATGTAAAAATAAAATAAAAATATCAGAGTTTCTTATTCTTTAAAGAAAACAAATATTCAAAATAAATACTTTTATATTATTAAACTCTGGATGAATTCCTTTTTTTGTTTATACAGGAAGCTGTATTTTAATTCTCCCTCTTTTTTTATAGAAAAGGATTTAACTGAAACGTTTTTTTCTAGGTTAATGACATACCCTTGTTTTTGGTTTATTAAAACACTGAACCAGAAATATGCACAAACAATGAAAACATAAACTTTGTGGGCCCACACACCTTATTACTAAAGCCGGCAATCGTATTCGTTTTTTAAACCAAATGGATACCCTTTAGTGTTTGGTGCAGGCCTGGGTGGAGCTTGAGTTCGTTGAAACCTCAGATCACACGGCTGGATGGTAGAAAAAAGGTGAGTTGAGAAGAAAATCCGTCCGGAGGAAAATGAAGACCCTTCACTGCCGAAGATGCAGCGCTTGTTCGCTCGTCGTCTGCAGCTGAATTTAAAAAAAAAAGGAGCTCATCACTGTATTCTGACAATTTCTTTAGCGACCTGTTTGCAGAACTAAACTTAGACTTAAATTTGTAAAAATATAACAAAACAGGAATTTATTGGGAAACTGTAAAAAGATTAATAAAATAAGTCAAACACAAATGATGGTATTGATGTATTGCAAAAGGATTATTTAAACCCTCTTTTAATTTAACAGTATTTTTTCTGATTACTCGAATACACTTTATTTTTATACCTTACAAAAAATATGTATGAACAAAAAACAACACAAATTAAATTTTAATTTTTCTGAATTTATTTTCAATATAATTCCCATCAAATATATGGATTTTTGCAGCCGAATTAATAAAAATTCAAAATTTGAAAGTTATTAACAGTTAAGTTAAGAAACTAGGCAGATATTGCAGCTTTACTTTGCTAGATTCCTCCTAAAATCACTCTAAGAGTTTAAAAGAAAGGGAATTTTGTAAACCTGTACTCCTTCTTTTAAAAACTTTTTTCTTGTGGCTATGACTGCTCCCTGAGTCACAGCTTGACAGGGTGCTCTTGGGAACTGCATGTGAATTAAACTGTCAGACAAGTGACAGTCTTTATATTTATTTAAACAATGCTTTGATGCATGCAGCTTTGGGTTGACTTCTTTTCATAATCTACTTATCAACAGGCTATATCACTCTGACATATTGTCACATTTTACTTACCGATTTGTGTCAATGAAATGGATGCTAACTGTGGTCTAGCTCTTTTGTTTTCATTGTAATCCAACAATCAGTGGTTTGATTTACAGTTTGTGACGTTAGTGGCGTTTTTAAATGGGTGGTTCTGGTTGCTTATAGAGGAATGTTAAAGCTTGGCCTCATGAGGTCATGAAAACCCTCTCTGCATGTGGTGTCGCTTGTTGCTATCATGTCAATTTATTTCATGTTACAAAGTTAATTTCTGCACTTTTCTGTCATCAAATTCTTGCTTTCCCAGCATGTCGGAAGTGTTTGAGACGCTGATGCTGCTCTTCTGTATGTGCTACTTGGGTCGTAACTAAAGCCCCTGTCACACCTCGACGATTTTGACCAGTGTATGCTTGATGTACGAAAAATCTGGCAAAAAGCTAACATAGGTCGGATAAGTTATGGGTATGTTTTGTATAAGTATAAGCAGTAACATGGGCAGTAAGTTACATATAAGTTATCTGATATTGTTGCAATACGTTAAGTGTAAGTTACTCATAAGTTGTGTTGTCCAGCTTATCCAAAACCTATTAGTAACGTGTGCTAACTTATCAAGAACTTATCTCCAATGCGTATCGACTTATTTGACGTGTTCCAGACGACCGCTGAACCCGTTTCTAACTTACAGCTACTGTATAATGGCAGCATTTTGGTATTAAACGGGGGTTTACAGGAGGAAACCGTCAGTTCTCCAGAATTCATCTCCATCATAGGGTGATGGATGACCAATAATCTTCCTAGCAGAAATGGCGCTGAATCTGCTGCGACTATAAACCTTCTTTCTTTTTCTTTATTCTTTTTATTTATCCTTTTTTGTTTTTGGGCAGGTGGTAAACAGTAGTTGGGTTAATACCGCGATAAAAACATCTTTTTATGCAGACCGGGAGCTCTGGGCACTGTGCGCCTGAAGGGAGCAGCTATAACTGATGCTTCGTAATGCCCATGAAATGATGCACAGTCATCATTTCATGGGCATTACGCTGCCTTGCGTTATGGATAAGTTTGCCTGTTGTTGGCATAGGTTGGATAAGTTATGGGTACGTTTTGTACAAGTTATGAGCACGCTGAAACATCCTAAAAACCCTGGCATTCGTACGCCGAGAATTAATCGCTAAACTTTCTTTCTTTCTTAGCCAACTCTCCTGAGTCAAACCTTACTTCTCAGGACTTGGCTAGCTAATGTGTTGCGGGCATCATGGAGTAAAAGCCTTAGCAGCGGTCAGAAACATTATCCATGTTTTCACCAAATATACTGAGTTGCTGGAGACATTTAAAGCTGCAGAGTAAAAGATTTTCATCCTGCATCACCCTTGTCAAATCAGCTGAAATAAATCATCAAACAAATGGAAAATCTTTCTGTAAACTGACCGCCTGCTTGTGGGACGTTAGTGAAAAAAACCAGCAGCTGATAACTATCGTATCGGAGCTTTTCCACCTGCTAACAAACAAACTAGCTGTCTCTGTCAGGGAGACAGACTGGTCGCTGATCTACACGGCCCAGATTCTAAAGTAAACTTCACTGTTATATTAGATTAAAATACCTCTCCAGCAGAAAGACTGCAACCCGTGCGCCTGTCTCATAAATTGTCTCCAACTGGTAAAGGCTGCACTAGATTCTCATTTTCTCCAGGTTATTACCTCTTTTCCTTTTTTTTGATTTGTTTCTCTTGCCTCTCACTGGACAAAAGGGTACAGAGAGTCCTCCTTTGCAACAGAAAGTAGGAGAACAATCTATGGTTGTCTTTTCTTGTTTAAACTCCTCACCAACAGATGCTCCCAAAACAGTTCAGGTTGACCAGTTCATTCCATTAAGGCGACTCTCATCAAAATGACGAATCAACATGGAGTATCCCATTTGGTGCAAAGTAAGAGCTCTCATTCGTCTTTTCATTGCATGAGAGCTCTATTATTTATTAAGTAAAGTTATTTCTCTTTTTTTAAAGAATATTTATATATTAAAGCAATACTAAATCTTTTTGGAAATTAAAAAGGACACATTTATTAACCCTTTTTATTTCTGATCACCTGCATCCCCCTTACAAATGGACTCCCCCTCCGTCCCTCAGTGAGGTCTAGAAGAACAAGATCTATATCCAGCCATTCAGCAAACATACTGCTACATGGCTGTACATCTTATTTTGGCAGGTCAAGAAAAAAAAAGGTAAAAAGTGAATTGAAAAGTTAAAAAGTAGAGTTAAAAAGTTAATAAGCCTAGTTAACAAATATATTTAGGTTTATAAACAAAACAATATAAATGCCAGTATCAACATTAATGCATCTAAGGTTATGTTTTACCAAAAAAAAAAAAAAAAAATGTGTTGGGCAAGTTGGCGTTCCTTGTTAATATTTGCCATCAAAGTATCCCTATTCCAGGTTTTATCGTGGATTCCAATAACGCTATTGGCTGAAATTTGGATTTTCAAAGTATATCACTGAGGGCCCTATAAGGGGTTAAACATTTCCTTTGAATGGTAATCTTTGTTTCGGAAATGGACGTTACCTGCTGTGAAGAGTAAAATTGAACATAGAACTCCTCTTGTCTCACTGATCCGTTCATAAACGATGCTCCTTTGTGTAGAAAACGGAGGTGAGTGTGAATTGAACCAAACGGTAGCCTGTCTTATGACAGTAGCATCTGGACTGTTCTCTGGAGGGGCTCGGGATTTTCCAACTCATTAGGATCATGTTGTTTGGTCGGCTGTCAACTTTCTCCTTCGGCCAAAGCGGCTAAGCTACCTTTTTTTTTATTTCTTTAACAGTTGTGTAACTGCCAAAATATATGAAGCTGGTCTCCCATGAAGTGAAGTCAAATATTCCTCTCCCCCCCATTTTCCCGTTTTCTTGGAATATGTCTTGAAAAGTGACATGGAGAAACATTTACACATCTGGCCATTGTGCTGGCAGGTCAGAAAGAGAGGGGGGGGGTGAACTCTTGGATTACAAGAGAGTGAAGGGGAAAAGGTGATGCGTTAGTTCAACAAAAATGCACTTAAAACTATGTAACCATGAGAAAAACGTTTATTCTGTATCTTCGTTTGGAAATATGTCGACGCTCACCGCTTTAGTCTCGGTGTGAAGAAAAGTCATAAAGGTAGAGAAACATACAGTAAGTTCAGCCAACTTGAATAATAAACCCTTGTTATTCTTGTGGAACCTAGTTGTTTGTGATGTGCAGGAAGCTGTGCGATGGTTCCTTAACCTTTTCTCCTGGCTCTGTTTAGCTTTAGACAAACCTGTCATCGATCAGTCATCAGGTTGAAAGCAGTAGGTCCTTTAGCTCGCACAGGTTAACGCCTGCCATCGTATTTATAACCTGGCAGTATGTGCCCATCTAACAGTGTCATATACTGATAAGAAAAGCAGTTACCTTTTAAACATGTGCTTTTGTAACCCTATAGGACCAAACCCTCTTTTATATCCTTTTGATGTTGGTGAGCCTTTCATTGCTGGAAGGTGTTTCATATCGAGGTTTAGCTGACAGCACAGTCAGTCAGTGTCATATGTGAGGCATCTGGATATAGGATAGGATTTAACTTCCAGTTGGAGGAAATTTAACAGTTTACTTATGGAGGGGGGAATTTCACTGCTTCTGTTTTAATTTCATACTTCTAAATAAAATAAAGGGCCAAAATATGTAGTTTTTCCTAGATATTTACAGTGTATTTTGGGTTAACTAAATAGAAAATAGAAAGAAAATTCCAAAGACATGTTGTCAGTGTTAATGTACATACCTCGCAGGCATCTGACCGCGGCCATATTGAGTACCTGCTCTGGTGAAAGATGCCGTCCGTATGTTGAGCCGTTGGGTGCGATGATAAAAAAGTGACCGATGCATTTCTTTGTACCGCTTACCAAAAAAGAACGGCATCAGAGATAGCTGTCAGGGATCAGAAGGGCTGCAAGTAGCTGTCTGTGTACATTTAGTATTAGATAAAAAAAATATATATATATTATTTATTTTCGCGAAAATGAAGTTATTAGCTTACACTGATTAGACACGTTGTGAAAGAAGTGCATTTGATATAAAGAGATGAAGGTCTAGCTACAGACAGTGTAGTTGTTTAGCTGTTTATATAAAGTAAACATAAAGATCAGCAGAATGCAACTTTGTTTTACATACAAATATCTTCTTGTTTTTCGGATGCCATATTTGTTTTAGACAATCAGCCAGCTGTAAAATACAGATCGGCATCTGTGCTTTTTAAAGCTTTCAAACTTTCCCCGGTGAATGAGGACGGGTTGTGTGTAAGACACATGTATCAGTCCAGAAAAGAAAGAGCATGTCAGTTGAAGATAGGTGCTGAAAAAGCCTGCAGGGACTTTTTATTAATCGCATCCAATAAGACAGATTTTCTCTGAGTATCATTTAAGCTGACAAGGATTTAAATAAGAATGATCAATACTTGAAGTAGAAAACTCAGCTGTTTCCCACGTTTTTAAAGTCTCTTTGTTACATCAGAGTGGGACACAAATTTCCGGCCAGGAGTTTTTCGCAACCTGCTGATTGTAATGATATTTATTCAATTCAATTTAATTTATTTATATAGCACAAATTCCCAACAAACATCATCTGAAGGCACTTTACAGTTCACCAGATCATACAGTCAAATTGGTTCAAAGTTTTCTATCTAAGTAAAACCAGTTGATTGCATCGACTCATTGACTCATATGCAATCCATCACTCTAAGCATGCTTGTAGCGACAGTGGAGAGGGAAACTCCCTTTTAACAGGAAGAAACCTCCAGCAGAACCAGGCTCAGTGTGAGCGGCCATCTTCAGAGGCCGACTGGAGTTCATATTTATGGGACAAATTGTAGGATGCCAACACGTTCATATTTGCAAACTCTCAATGATAGGATTTGTCACCTATCTGCCATGTTTATCCGGATGGAGCTGATCGCATGATAATTTTTCTTGCATAGGAGTTCTCCCTTCATCCAGAGAGTCACAGAATGACAGTCACAGATTCAAACCCCATCTCCATCCATCCAGTCCATCCAGTCCAAAGTTGGTCGTTGAGGGCCGCTCTCCTGCAGGTTTTAGAGGTTTCCCTGCTTTAGCTCAAGTCCTGATGATTGCAGTATAGCAAAAGCCTGTTAATCAGCTATCACTGGAAATCAGCTGTGCTAAAGGAAGGGAAACCTCAGAAACCTGCAGGATAGCGGCCATCGAGGACCAAATTTGGGCATGCCTGATCTAATCGTTGCTGTCGTTTAACCAACTGAATGGGCTCAGAGGGCTTGGTGGCAGCCCCGTGGCTGTCAGTCTGTCCCAGAGCAGCTGTGGCTACGACCTCACCACCGTCAGTGAGTGAATGACTAAATGTATAAAATTCTTTGCAGTCCTCCGACTTAAAAAGGTGCCATATAAGAACAGGCCATTTGCCATTTAGGTTGTGTAAATTAAGGAGATGTCATTTGGCTGCATGCATAAATCCTCCCTATTTACCTCCAGCTCATTTGAAATCTGCTCTTTTTCCCTAAGCAGCTTCAGTAACTTTGAGTTAAAATTGAGCTTTTTGTAGTTAAACTATATGTTTAATTTTCCTTGGGTTTTATCTAAACCCTCGCCTCATATTTAAGTAGTAGGTTTAATACTAACTTAGACTTATATTCTGTGTCTCTGAATGTCTGCTATGAAATTAAAAAGTGACTCATGATGTGCTGTTCTTTTGGTTGAAGGTTATTTTTTTAGTCACTTCTTTTTTTTTTATGAACCTTTTCTTTCTGTGTTTGATAATGAGTTTCTGCCGTGATCTCACCTTATGGTAACCTCTGATATTGTTCAGCTGTCACGGTTAAAATGTTTGAATCCCTTTGCGGCTTGCAGAGCTTCTGTAGTAATAGTGGAGAACTTGGACCACTAATTTCTGTCTGCTTTGCGGCAATATTACAGCCTGATTTCACCACACACTGACCACACTGACCTCCCACACATTGCAGCGGATCTGCATGCATCTGTATGAGAGTGTGATGTATTCTCAGTATTGGTCTTAGTTGAGTATGTGTTTTTTTTGTAGATGTACAAAGGCTAGCTGTAGCTCAGCAATAGCAGATGTTTGCTCCAGGTGTTTCGACATCTGCATAATCTCAATTCCTGACCTGCACAATCGATACGCTTGACTTCTTCTTTAAAGGCTCATTTTAAAAGACAAAGGTAAGATCATCGAAATCATCACAGCGCTGGCTTTCCCCAGCAGTGATTGATTACACTTTGATCCAGCAACCGCAGCTGTTTTTCTGGCCACAGAACTCTGTGGTGGTCTGGTCTGCAACGGGTGGGGGGGTAGCCTGGTAGGCGTTGGTGGATGGTGGTCACCAGCCATGTTCCGGATGATTGCTGGGGGATATATGAGCTGCGACATAGCTTTAGCATGACAGATCCTTGGGAAAAAGAACAGAGGAAGAGAGAGTGAATGTTTTAATGAGCGGAATGAAAAATGAAAAAGAAAATGAATATAAAGGCTGAAAGGAAAAATGACAGGATGAGGGACATAAAAGCGAGTCAGATTTTGGGACCAACCTCAGCGCTCACAATTACAACTGGCCTTTGGTTGGCTTTATTGCACATGGCTGTGGCGCCTCAGTGGACAAAGGGGACATATGCGCAGATGCATGCCTCCCTTTGTCATTGCTGGATTGTGTTTTAAACGTTTGTAGTCACTCTACAAATGATTCAAAAATGCTTAAATACATTAAGTCAGCACTTTTACTGCATACCAACTAAATGCCTGTTGAAATATAAAAAAAGATCCATGACCATATCATTATTAGAACACATCCTTTCTTTTATTTGTTTTTCTTTGCCCAGAAACAAATGTGGTGTCTGAGATCATGTCAGCCGTAGTTTTAACGCATTTTTGCACTGCATGAAAAAGGCTACTGCTGTCACAGCCAGCATCTCATACTCCTGTGATCTTTCTTGGTTTAAGGGCCCCAGTTTGACGTAAATCCCCTTGTGACGTTCTGGTGCTTTATAGGTCTGTGTTATTAGAAGAGGAAAAGTGTCTAATGTCATATCGCTCCGTCACCTCTGTAATCTGATCCGCAGTATGCTATGGGTTCAAATTTGTCTGTTCCTAATCTTTATCTGCCTGATTTTAGCCTTTTTTTTTTAAACTTCACCTGCATGTCTCCTTTAATTATCCTGACTGTCATATAAACAGGTGGGGTTTGTTTTCTCTAATAAATGAATGACATCCAGCATCTATTAATTGAGACGATTCAGAGGAACATGCAGATTTTCCTCGTTATCTACTGAGCCTCCTTTGGAGTGAAATTTAATTCATTGTTGCTGCGAGCAAAAAACATGTTCTGCAAATGGAAATGCAAAAAAAAATTAGAATGAATTAGAATACATTTTTAATTCTTTTTTAATTCATTCTGATTTTATTTTTACATTTTCTCAATTTTTTTTTTTTATTATTTTTTTTTGTTTTGTTTTTTTTATTTTTTATTACAGCCCTAGTTTTTTCGGCTCATTTTTTCAACAGTAGGCTGGCAGGAAAGGAGAGATGAGAGAGAGGGAGAGACATGCGGCAAAGGACCACAGGCCAGATTCAAACCCGTGTCGACCGCGTCGAGGAGTAATGCCTCCGTACATGTGTCGTGCACGCTGACCACTGCTCCACCCACGCGCCCATTATTTCTGTTTTTTATACAGATTTTATATTTTTTTTCTAGCTTGATGTTTTTTACAAATTGCATTTTTTACTGAATACATTTTACAGATCCAATTATCTTCCCTACCAACCATGTAGAGGAACGCTTGCACACATTGAGAAAAAAAATGTTGTTGCTAGGGTTCTTGTAGACCAATAGAAACGCGTCTTCATCATCCCACTAGAGGAAAGCCCGCCCCCAGAAGTGAAGAGAAAGTAATTTGTAAAACACAATAAAAAATTAATCAGTAAAACTCAATCCGACAAAATAGACATTTTAATTTTGCATCAAAATAAGTAAAAAAATAACTAAATAAATAACTGAAAAAAAAATTGTCTAAACAGTAAAGTTACCATCAAAAATGTGTTATGATTAAATCGTTTTTGAAGGTTTAATTTCTGGATTGTATTTTTTTTTTATTCCAAAAAAAGAAAATGAAAAAAAAAAAAAATCCACTGGATTTTGTTTTCAAATTTGAAGAGGTTTTGCTTCCCATCCAGTAAACTTTTTAGATTCAAAATGTCAGGAATAGTTCAAGGTTTTATACAGTAGCCCAAAAAAAAAAAAAAAAATAGTTTTTGTTTTGAAACATGGAAATTAAGGCCTTGTTGGGCTTCCTGGATGGAAAGAGAAATGTCTTCAAATTTTGAAACCACATCCAGTGGATTGTTTTTAATTTTCTTTTTTTTGGAATGACTACTACCTGGATGACTGAGAATCATCACCAGCCATTTCTAAAACTTGTTCTTTGCTGCATCAGTAATGGATCAAACTTCTCTCTGCAGACTCAGAGCAAGGAAAGATTGCTTGGATATCTTTCAGCTTTCTACAGTGAGAGTGAAAGACAGATGGACTGGAGGTCTCCTCTGGTCTGTGGTTGTCAAGTATGTCAGTAAAGAGATGAAAAATTCAACGAAAGCCCTAAGATGTCTCTTTCAGCGCAGCCTGCCCCCCCTCACTTAAACATCCATACTTCTTTGAAGAGGTAACTTATTGGTTTGAGAGAAAATTCTTCCTGTCTTCTTGTCTGCTTCACAAATTGCCATCAGGACAAGAAGAAAGTTAGAGGGAAAGAAAAGCGAATGGTCTTTTTCATCTATATGCAACCTATTTCTGACATTAAAGACACGTCGCGTCAGCATCAGAGAACCGATAAATAAATCTGGGGTGGAACTTGAGACAGTTC